CCACTTAATTCTGCATCTACCTCGCGGAAACCATACCTCCAAGTTCCAACCAAATGAAAGCCTACTACTTGAGATATTACCTAACAATACACAACACAAAGTAACACTATCAGACGTAATTCTAATGACCATGTATAATCTCGGATCTAAAACATCACGGCTATTTTCTTTAAATAACTACCCGACAAAAATAAAATAAAATTTCAAATTGGAAAACTAACAATTGTAAACTCAAGTCTTTGACTCGTTTTTGACCCATATGGTATCGGAATCATAATAAATGGAACAAAGTCACCTGGTATAATCCCGATGGGAGCAGTGTCCAATTGCAGACATCAAGACGCCGCTCACCAAACGCTGCGTTAACGCCGCGTATCTTACGCTGTCACTGGACGCCAATGTACTCCGGCTTGAATTGGGACCACGTCATGTCTTCATTTGCTGCTTCAGATAGCGATTCAGTTCGAAGTAGCTGCCTCAACGTTAGCCACGTTGTATCTTCACTACAGAGTAGCTAGCTATGTATAGCTAAGCACTTCCAATCTTGCAGCACTATCTTCTTCGTCGCATTTGCATGTAGGTAGTTCTTCACGAACCGGCTCCGATAATTTTAACATTTTCAATAATCCCGGTCCATCCCACTTCTGATGTAGGATCAGGGTCCGACATTATTTGAAAATAAAACAAAGAGCTTCACACAATCACTTAGTTTATTTCGATTAAATGAACTTACTTTCACATTAATTTTTAATTATAATAATTGAATAATTCAGCACTGATTATATAAAGGAAACACTCAAATAAAACCAACAATAAAATTACTCAGCGATTGCGTAACGTGTGAACTGGGCAACGATCGACGAACGACTGACTCGAGCTTGCGCTTGCGCTGCTTTATATATCACTCGGTGGTGGGGTTGAAGTGACGTCGGTCAGTTGTTTGTTCACTGCTCGCCCATTACATTCGCAGTTTACAAAATAATGACGGCGGCGCCGACATGCGCAATAAAGTATAAATAAATAAAATAATAAAATTTGTGCCCTAGAATTCATATTCTACGCAGACGAAGTCGCGGGCAAGAGCTAGTCGTAAATAAAATGACAGTCCTGGGGTTAATTCCTAAGGAGCATCTTAATCTGCTGATTAACCTAATCTGAAACCCTAACAATGTTTTGCAGATCCAACCGGAGACTGAAGAAACCTCTTTTAAATCGTATACATTGTACACACATATGTTTTACATCAGCGAGACAGTCGCCGCATCGTGTGTCGTGTAATGCTGCTCATGAAAATGAGCCTCTGAAATGACTTGTAACTATAGTCAGAATTTTAATTAGATTCCAGATTTGACAATAGCTACTGTCATTTTGTGAAATAATGATACCACATATAATAGTGTAGTGATGAACACAAAAATCGATAAACAATCAGTGTGTGTGTTTTATAATAAATGTTACAGAAAGGGACGGGATAACGATAGCGATGACGACGAAAATTTATAAAATAACTTATTACCATAATACATCTGTCTGTTTTATTTGTCATGTTCCTTCATGGTTACATTTTTTTATTTATTTTACACATAATTATAAAAGAAAGGTCTCAGATCGTTAATTTATCGTCAAAACTAAATTATCGGTTCAGAAATATTTAATTTCCTGATATACTTAGTTTACAAGAGTAAAATTATAAACAAGAAGAATCGATCCAGTAATATTGCATTATCATATCGAATAATTTCGCAACGTCACTATTTAGTACTTGTCATAACGTTGCAACACTGAAATTGTCAAATCTGGAATCGAATTAAAATTCCGAGTATAGTCGAGTTCATCGTCAAACAATACGTGTGTGAGTCGAAAAAAATAATAATAAATCTCACGGAAGTTATAATACATTCCAAATACAATTTCATCATTACTAATTTCAAACAATCTTGAATCAGTGTTGGAATAAGACATCAAGTCTCATCTGGATAAATATGTGTGTACGAGTAGTCATTGCTTTCAAAGTAAAATGTATTTGTTTCCGAGCACAAGTATGAACAAAGATGACATACTCTTCGTCACTACATTCATCATAACATAACAATTACTGTGACACAGATTTCAAAGAATGCAAACTTTAGCTCTAGATAAGATTAAAGAAATAAGTGTTCAACTATTTGTTTATAGCATTCAGCAATTTGTAGATGTCGTATGTTATGTTCATAATTGTAAAATAAATAAAAATAAAATAAAATACATTTATTTCAGGTGATCATAACCCATATTATTACATTGTTAATCAGATAGGTAAAATATATTAATAAGTGAAGATACAATTGTTCTATTTAGGAAATTTATATGGACATGTCATTATAACCATAAAATGAAATGAAATTATATAAAAATAAAATTAAAATTAAACAAATCAAATTAAAAAGTAAATCAAATTAAATTAAATGAAAATTAAATCAAATATAAAGTTAATATAATCTCTTCATCCGACACTGCGGGTTGTGTCTTTCACAGCAATGACGTATGTAGGGACAGTCCACTCTACTTGCTATCATTGCCAGAGCGGTATTGGAGCTGGCCCGAACCGTGCGCACCAAGGCAGCACCTCTTTTGCGCATGTTACTGTTAAAACAATCGGTGTTCGCTGCTGCAAACATGCCCGATGCGCTACAGAAACGAGGCAACCCCAAAACCGCCCTAAACGCATTGTTAAATTGGACACGAAGGGAACTATAGGACTTTTGTTAGTATTTTGCCCACAAGCTACACGTATACAAAGACGTGCAGTAGGATTATGACAAGACATTTCTTTTATCCGATTCTATAGATTCCTTCTTCTAAACATTATTTTTTTAATTGTTGCCTCGCACTATGATTTTGTCCTCTGTCGTGTGTGCGTTTACAAACATACAAGTTCACATACCTACATATAACACCCAGACCCGGAACAACAATCTGTGGATCACACAAAGAGTTGTTCCGTACGGGAATTGAACCCACACACTTAAATATTCCTGTTTTCACTAACCTTCCTTCTTCTTCCAGATATAATGCGGCATGTAGAACGCAATGGACTGCAGGAACAGCACGAAAGGCACCCACTGGTAGTAGGTGTGGTGCAAGGTCTCGTCGGCCTCCATCATGGGGCCCACGCCAGGGTGCGGCAGGAACCCGCCTTGCAGGAGAGTCTCGTTGTAATGTCGAACCTAGACGAGACGAAGAGAGATCAGCTAGGTTATTCTGTAAAATGTCAATTCCAACTCTCGGAGTGAGCTCGATCGCATTCTCGTCCGTCATTGGTCGAGATTATTCTCACAACCAATCACTTGGCGGACCGTGATAGCTCACTCCGAGAGTTCGATTTGACATCTTACAGAATAGTCTAGCTGGTATTACTATGTTTTTTATACTAATAATGTGAGATACTAATGAGAGTAAAATAATAATGAGAAAAAACAACAAGGATGTCTCCAGAAATACTGTTGGCCATATACCTACTCAAACGTCACTCAATTTTAACTCGTCGAGTACCGGTTTTGCAGACACAATTATAGAACAATAGGTTGCGGTCACCGGTGACCGCTTGGTATTTGACAGTTTAAGTCGCGCTTTGTATACTTTTGTCACTACAAATATTTTGTAAAATTACAGAGATGGCACGATATTTAAGTACAATTTAAAATTGAGTAGCCTTTCAGTATTCGGGCGTTTATGTATCATTGTGTTCGTATTGCATTTTAGTATGATTACGATATACACATTAGTATCATGTGATATACTGAACTACTTCCATACATCGTGCATCAAAATCACACTAAAACCAAGTCACATAAAAATCTGAAAAGATTCAATGACATTAATACAAAACGTCTTACGATAGTAAATGTAGCCATGAAGAAGCAGTATTTCTCAATGATCGGGGTAGGGACGCCATTGTCGGCCATGCATTTGATGGTATCTCCGAAGTAGTCCCTCATGCAGACCAGGATCACAGCAGCTAGGAAGAGAGTGCATGTCGCCTTATAGTGCAGTTTGAACGCTATGTTCTCTATTATAGGCTTTCGAAGGACGATTCGGAACCGAGGCCCCAGTTGGCTGGCGAGGGTTGCTGCAAACATCTTGGCTTCTCACTTCTATGACCAAGAAGCATTACCTGAAATAATAGAAAAATTGTAAAAAAATCACCTAGGAGCTGAAAAATGCTATAATGATTATCAAATAAAAAGAATTAGGTAATCGGTTTTGTGTCGAGGACAGAATCGAGTTTTGAGTGATAGAAGTGACAATGGCGGGGTCGTCAAAAACCTCGAATTATTAAGAGCGTAGGTAGATTGTTTTGTCTGCTTCATCTACCATCAATAACTTTAGTTTTTCCGCTTTACGGCCCTTGCAAGTGCCAAAATATCTTAAATCTTGTCACAAATGAATAACAAATATAGTAAAAATAAATATTAGTATTAAGTTCTAACGAAAATGACTTTCAGTTTTAAAACATATAACCATGACCTAGTTAGCAAAATGTTTTATTTATTTGTACAAAAATAAGCCTTACAAACTGTGACAGTGATAACATTTATGGCAATATTTGTCTAACTGTGTAAATATTTGAATTTATTTGAAAGCATGTAAGTAGATTAAGTACTACTAAGTAACTAGACACAAACACGGAATCATTTTACTGTATATTTTATATACGAATTCCTTTTCTTCTTTTATTTTGAAAATAGAATTTCGTGTGTTCCAGATTATAAGTAGCCCAATCCCCTCCACTATCCAAAGATTGACAACGCTCTTGTAATCCTGATGATGCCCATTCGTGGTTCTGATTGCTTACCATCAGGTTTGTCTATGTTATTCTTTAGTACATCTTTTATTAACAGCATAATAACAGTGTATTCCCCTAATCCGGGTCATTGCACAAAAATAAGTTGTTCCAGGTAAACGAATCTTATCTGATTGCTGAATACTGATAATGTTTCGTCGTACAAGAAACGGATGTATCTAAAACCATAGACCACAAGACATATTTTGGACGACTTGAAAATTGGTTAAAAAGAGATCTAAGTATAAAATTGAAAGCACGTCTACTCCGCCATGTCTTTCTTATAGATTTTCTACTTCATAACAGATATAGTTCAATTGAAAACCAATCGATTGATTCAGCATGGCTTTTTTTAAGGGGGGAAGTCATCGAAAAAAAACCACCCCGTTCTTACTCATGCACTTCGAGCCGGAACCCCGGTAACCCGTTAGGTTCTGCGCGGCATGGCTACTGGCGACATCATAAATCATGGTAAAAAATATGTAAAATCAGTGCACAAATACTTTGGTTTCTAGAGGTTTTTGAAATTTAGAGTGTATATTACTCTCCAGTAGCCAATATCAATAGGCTTGATCAATATCAAATGAGCTCCAAAATATCAATGGGCTCCACTGCTACAACAGTTGTCATGTCTTCAATGGGATAGATCATAGATAAGATATTACATGACCTTGATGTGGATGAAATCGCTTGCCATCTTTCTCAACACATTAATCAGCGGAGCTACCTTTAAAAGAAACTGATTAGATGATATTATTCGCAGTCTTTAGTCTCTAAATATTAAGATCAAACTGCTTGCATGAAGAATCACACAAGCGCAATTCCTAATAAAAGTTTACAATTAGTTAATTATGATTTTTACAATTTGTTCATGCACATAGCTGCATTAGTTTCATAAATTATATTGTAATACGGTATGCATTCTTAATATATGATTAAAATCAACTGTACTCAAACTTAGATAATGTTCACTTTCACTAGATCGAATATAAAGTACTGCAACGGTTCACATCATCTCAAAAATACAAAACCCATCCTATTTCCGAATGAAAAAGTTCAACCCTTATAAATAAATAATCATTGTCTTTGTCTATAAAGACTATCATTGAATTAATTACTAAAACGAGTCATCATCATCAGAAGTGAAGAAAGTATAAGACCATAAACAAAACATGCAAATAAAATTTATTCTCCCTTTCCTCAGCAAATCAAAAAGTTCACAAGATTTCTTTATTCAAAAGGAAATCTGCAGCCTCGAAGTTGCAACAAAAATATCACATTCCCCGTTCCCGTATCTAGAACACGGGCTCGAAAGGGCCAGAGATAGTATTATCAACCTCTTGGCCTTGGAATAACAAAGGAATTCCCCTATCACAATCAACACATAACATTAACAAATATTTAAATGATTATAATAACAAAGACATTCACTTACACTCTCACTATCTTCAAAAAGTAACTTCACTTCACACACTCGAATTCGGTACACAGTCCATCGACATACAACTGGAGCTAATCATGGACTGACGGGCGTAACTCTTGGCGTCTGTGCCACACCAAGATAGCAACGATAGCGATTAGATAAGTGCGATCAAGTGTTAATGTGTAGCTTTAAATTATTCCGAAATATTTTGTTTTAAACGTATATTGGTGAGTCTATTTTGAAGATCCTGGAAGTCATCGCGGGACAGATATGAGTAAGTTCCACTAATTTATGGTACCCTTATAGATAACTAGAATAAAGTGAGATTTGATCTACTTAGCAGGAGAAATACTTTCACCATTTAGAAAATTCAAAAAAATTCAAAATTCTTTATTATTATCTTAAGAATTACACTATCTGTCTAACATTGAGGCAGTCCCAGTAAGTTATTATACAATACTTGTGTTGGGACTGACTCGATCCTTTCTTTATTTATTTAACACTCTTAAGAATAATAACCTCGAGATCTGCTAATTAAAGGAAAACAACAAAAATTAAAGTAGATATAGTAAAATAAGAAATAAAAAAGTTACAAATATAAAAAAAAA